AAACCTTACATAATGCAGTTATTCCATCGTAATTAGAATCCAATGTCAGAAATTAGCTTACAGACAAACTCTGACTACGTATGTTTAAAAGGGAATGCACAGTGAAAATTACTTAGAATGATAAACGTACATTAATCACAACGCCCATTTTGGCAAATCAATTTGCCAACAATTTAAAATACATATGTAAATAATATAATATATTCAGAAGACAGTAACGTTATTGCAAAATTAATTATTAATATAATAGATTAATTAAAATTATTAATAGGACACAAATTCTTGAAATATAGTAAGTACTCACCCTCTCCGCCCAAGGAAGTCAGCAGTACAGAAGAAAATACAAGCACAATATTCGCTGCCACTCGTAAGTTTCACAGGTAATACGACACAATACAGAATATTTGTAACACTTCGTTCTCAGTAACTCTTCCTCAATTTAATAAATATACAAACAGACCACCGCTAACCGTGCCACAAAACGAAAATGGCAGCGGTAAATTGAAATGTGTAATATAAGTTAACAAAATAAAATCGAGCTGTTGTAAGTTGGGACAGCGCATCTATCTCTCTTTCTCTATGGAAAAAATTCGAAAATGTAATGAAACAAATAGCTATAGTGAAACAGTTGAAACGACTTCTTAAATTTTTAGGAGTATAGTTAGTACCAAAAATTGTCACCAGAGTTCATCGTTCTGAACACGTTTTGTTTCTACAATTTTTTGATATGAATGAAAAATTTCAGGTACATCCTAAACTGAAAAAGTTAAATTAACAACTTAAATTAATATCATGTAGCCTAGTAATAACAAAAAAATCATAATATAGTAAATGAGAAAAATCGTAAAAAAAAATATATTGCAGTAACTTCGTACACGGTTATTATCATTTGAAAAGATTGAAGAGGACGCATTAATACAACACCTTTGAACAGCACGTTATCTATGACAAAGACGATAGTGACTCTTTAACAATAAACAATTGCAAATACCGGAAATTTGTTGAGTATCATTTATATTTTCCTATACTGTCATCTATAACTGGTATTACGTATTACGATTACTTCGTATTCGCCCATTTTTTTTAAAATTTTCTTTAACATACATATACGTCTGTCTAAATAGACAGAAACAATGGAAAAACTTCGATTCAAACACCTCTTTTGCTTCTTCCACATTCATCAATCTTTAACAATCTGCGTCATTTGCGGACTAGTATCAAAATGTACAATTAAATTATAACAACAATTTTAATTCCTAAATGAAGAGTTCTGAATAGACAACTCCAATCGTTGCTCGCTTTCGGAGGGTAGTACAATTAATTGTTTTTTTTTTGTATGAATGATAATGGAATGGTAATTCTGCCTGCGATATTGGTATATGACAATAGGGCACCAATGAAGGATAAAGCAAGCTATTTAGGCCATTGCGACAGGAGATTTAATAGTCCCATTCTAACAATATACCTTTTTAGATTTACCTCCAGGCGGTTCTCCCTAAAAACCATCGTAATTAATTCTTGTGAAATTCGTCACGATAAGCGGTCAGTTAGACCGGCTTTCAAACTTATTCATCACCTCTCACTGTGCCTTGCCAACATATATCGATAGCGCAGGCGAGGTTACCATTCCATCTTCCCTCATTAAAAAAAAAATATCATGCTTAATTATAGACTATCGTAAAACGGTATACCAGTGAAGGATGAAACAGTGAGAATGAAGTCTCGTTTTATGAATCGACACGACAGTCATTGCAGCGAATTCACTCCCCAGAAACCATCGTGGTTAAAGTTCTTCGGCTGACAGGGAATATTTCTATGACAATCCTCGCTCCTCTCTATTACTATTATTATTAAATACAAATATTTAGATCTAGTCTCTCTGATTTGTAGAGTTTGTAAGGATTGTAGAGTTTATTCTTATAATGAATCGCCTCCACTGGTTTGTTGGCAAAGACTTCGGCAGCCAATAATTTTAAATTGACTTGAACTGTGTCTATGAATTGACATGAGACATTAAAAATTAGTTTTAATTTTACGTAATACGTACTACATAAAAAAATTTTTGTTCAGTCAAAAATCAAGAGAATAACCAGAGGTACACTTTGTACAAAGGTCGATTGCTTGGGTACCTCTGTCCCATTCGTGTTTCTACCGTGAAGCAGTTGTGTTTGCATGGCTGTGTTTCGGTTTAAAGGGTGGGATATGGCGTGAATTTACTGGGTACAGAGGAATAACACCTGAATCCTCAGGAAGGGCAACGCATGGGGGTATCATGGGCAAAACAGTATACTCTGTTATGTCCATGGTACTGCTTATGTCTATAGGCGACGGTTACTACTTTCCATCAGGTGGGCCCGTCAGCTTGTTTGTAAGTTGTATAAAAAAAACCTAGGAAACAAAAATTTAAATTGACTTAACACGTCAACAAAGGTAGCCTATATACTAATATAGGTAGGCATTTTATTGTTGGACTTTCGTCATCCAAACAAAAGATGTTTTACGTTTGGTTTTACATACACTACAGATATGAACTGTGAACTTTACATTTTTCAAGTGTTCCCAATTTAGCATTTTCCCCTAAATTTAGGGAGAAAAAAAAAACAGTTATAACAGTATATAACTATTCTGGCCATAAATACTGTTACATAAAAAATTTTCTTTTTTTTCCTTATTTTTTCCTTTTTAATTATTTTGAATTTGAAACATGTTTATTATTTTAAAAACTTCTTTTGATTTTGCGCCATTTCACATATTTTTTCGTGTTCATTATTAAATTACAATATGGAATGGGATGTTAAAGAAAATAGGATTGCAGTGATCGCCTTGTACAAGGTGGATATGGAGTCGTTGGTCATATTCCAGAGACTTCAAAAATTTAGTATCAGCCGTATGTCCGTATAACGTACTATCAACAAATACAACAACACTTCCTCTGTCGAAGATCAGAAAAGAAGAGGGTGGCCGCGTGCAGTTAGAACTTCGAAGTCCGTTAATGCTGTTAAAGCTAGAATTCGTCGAAACCCCATTAAGAAGCAAAAAATCTTATCGCGAGAAATGAAGATTTCCGCTAGGACTCTGTCGCGTATTATAAAAAAAGACCTATAGCTCGGTGCTTATTGTCGATATACAGGACATGCTCTTAATCAATCTTTACAATTAAAGTAAAGAGTCGATCAATCCAAACGCTTTCTGTCGCGATACTCAGGTGAAAGGTACAGAAATATCCTCTTTATCGATGAAAAAATTTTCACGATTGAAGAACACTACAACAAGCAAAATTATAAAGTGTACGCTCACGGTTCTAAAGAAGCTGCTCAAGTGGTTGGAAAGGTACAACGTGGTCATCGTTTTACGTCAGTGAAGGTTTAGTAAGGTATGTCTTATCTATGAGTCACAAAACAACATTTTTGTGAAAAAGAATTGAAAACTTCAACCAAAGTGTATCAAGATACAGTCTTGGATCGTGTTGTAAAACCTTTCAGCAATACACTTTTTAAAAATATACCGTGGCGTTTCCAGCAGGACTCTGCATCTGGTCACAAGACACGAACCCAACACCTCGCTTGAAACCAATGTTCCGGATTTTATAAGAACCGAAGATTGACTCTTATCTAGCCCAGACCTCAAGACTTTAGATTTCAAATTATAGTCAGTTTTAGAGATCATGGCCAGCTCTAAACAACATGGCGACATTGAATCTCTTAAAAAATCTTTGGAACAAGCAGTGGCGAAATTTCGCTTGGAAACAATGCGTATCCAGAAATAGTATCCATAGATTCATGGCCAGACAGATTAAAGGCCTGTATAAAAGCCAAAGGTGGCCATTTCGAATAGAATATTTTTTTTATTTTTTGTTGAGACTTTAATAAATATTAGTAATATTACATTATTCATAAAAAAAAAGAATTTTAATTTGTAACAGAACTTATGGCTGAATTAGGTATATCTATAAGAATGGGATATAATAATGATAATGGGGTCGATTTTATGGCGCCATTTTTGTATGTCGCCGCTCATAAGTCATATGACAAATTTGTATTCAACACAGTCCTTCAATCTAGGGATAGGATAGTTTTGACATTAATCTACAACTAGATATCGATATACATACAAGCGATATAGAACCTTTAAGTCTTAGGAAAGATTTTATCTCATTCTGTATGTTCTACCGCTTGTACAATGCACTGTACTCAGAGGAATCGTTCAGTATGATGCCCACGGACACTTTCTACCAGTTAACATTAGTTAACTGTTTAACATTAGGTGGGCCGTATGTTTGTTTGCCACCTCGGCGGTATAAAAAAATATATTGGTAACTATCGCCCGCGTAATGGTAATGCCTCCAGAATGCTTATTAATAGGATTTTTATTATATTTCCAAAATTTATACTTCTTTATAAATATTATGAAGTTTAAGTAGGTTTTGAGCCTAAGTTTAGATAGAATTTAATATGGAAACAATCTGACTCGATCTTAAATATTGATAAATGTATTGAGCACTATTATACCAATCATTAAACTTGGTACCAGAGTAATTTTGACATTTATATATGGATTTCTTTAAATGTAAATAAAAAAAGCCGTAGCTAAAAGATAAAAAAATAAATATAAGAGTCTAGGGTAAGATTTTAAATTTGTCGGTGGTATGGAATTTCGTCTTGTATAAGTTTTATATAGAGACAATTTTAAACACACTTTTAATGACAGGCATTTTGGAAGTTTTGCAGAGCTCCACCTGTGACCTTTGCAGAAAAAAAGAAGCATATGTATTAGAAAAATTTGGTCAATTCGCTCCTACATAAGCGAATTTTCAAATTGAAATTTTAGGTAAAAAAACAAAATTTTAAGAAATGCCTCAGAATTAACTTCTTTATCCAACTTCTCTATTTATGTGTTCAATTACTCTTTTAATTATATTTTTATTAAGTTCCATTGAAACATAGTACCTGTTATCTACTAATAGTGAGGTAGAAATTTAATATTTCTTTAGTCAGGAGAAAAATATTTAATGTTGCCACACTAACAAAGCCTGTTGACGTCAAGTTTCATGAAAGAAGAATAAATTATTGTGTTCTTTTTTAAGTTTTCTTCATTCAAGTAGGTTAAGTATTTAACATTCCTAGAAATATACGTAAAACTGGAATCTATTGGTGGAAAATTAGAAAATAGTAACAGAGTTTCTTCACTTAGAATTTTAGTTTTTTTGTTTAGAAGTAAGTAATTTATATTCTTTAATTGGAACTTCAATTAAAGTATTTTGTTGAGTTATAAGAAAATATAAATCATGAATTGTGATGTTAAAACGGTAATTGCTCCAGTGAATATAGCTGTTATAAAATACTGGGGCAAACGTGATGAGGAATTAATTTTACCATTAAATGATTCCGTTAGTGCTACTTTAGATACAAGTGTGATGTGTGCTAAAACTTCTGTTTGCGCCAACCCACACTTTGCAGAAGATGAAATTTGGCTAAATGGAAAAAAAGAGTCATTCTCTAATCAACGCTTACAAAATTGTTTGAAAGAAATTAAACAAAGGGCTTATAATGAAAAGAGTATTGATGATATATTCTTAACTTGGAAAGTGCATATTTGCTCAGAGAATAACTTCCCTACTGCAGCTGGATTGGCCTCATCTGCAGCAGGATATGCTTGTTTAGTGACCGCTCTTGCTAAACTTTATAAAGTTAAGTCAGATATCAGTTCTATTGCCAGATTGGGTTCTGGTAGTGCATGCAGAAGTGTTTATGGTGGGTTTGTTAGATGGCATGCAGGTGTGAACCCAGACGGATCGGATTCCATAGCTACACAAATTGCAGACAGTTCACACTGGCCACAAATGAGAGCATTGATTCTTGTTGTTGGTGATACTAAAAAAAAAATAAGTTCTACTATAGGGATGAAGAGAAGTGCTGATACTTCTGAACTACTCAAATATCGTGTTCAGTACTGTGTACCAAAGAGAACAGATGATATTTCCAAGGCTATAAAGGAAAAAAATTTTGGGAAATTTGCTGAAATTACTATGAAAGACAGTAATCAATTTCATGCAGTATGTATGGATTCTTATCCCCCTTATGTATATTTGACTAATATTTCTCATACCATAATTGATTTAGTCCATAAGTATAATGAAATTAGTGGAGAAACAAGAATAGCTTATACATTTGATGCAGGACCAAATGCTTGTCTGTATTTACTTGAAAATGAAGTGCCTAAAGTGATGTCTCTAATTCAACATATTTTCCCATCATCTTCTGATAAATTTGTAACTGGCCTTAATTTTAAAGAGGAAGGATTAAATGAGGAATTTCTAAAAATTTTATCTATACCAATTCAAGCAAAAGATTCAATTAAATATGTTATTTACACCAAGGTTGGTGATGGACCAACTGAAATAAAAGATGGATCACATCTCCTTAATAAAGACGGAACACCAGTGAAGTCAGTATTGATCTAAAAGAGCTGTCTAAACAATGGCCTATGGCTTGAATTGATGCAGCCCGCCAATCTTTTCTAGCTACTACCAATATTGATGTTGACAGAATTGTATAAGATAAATTAATGAAATAGGAATACAATAACAATTATAACTGCATTTTGTTTTTACAAATATTTTGCAGCCCCCTAATGAATTGTCATTTTTATTGGCCTAGATCCTGTTTAATTTGGACAGCCCAGATCTGAAACATACCTATTTTATTATTGTTTAATTTATATGATTTGTTGGATATTTCTCTAGTATTATTTTTGTAAGAGGTTTATTATTCTTTAATAATAATAGTAACTATAATAAAATTTCACTCTAATATATTGTGGACAATAAAAAGGTTTTTGTGAGTAAAGTACTCGTTTTATTTGCATAATAAAAACAGTATATACAAAGCTTATGTACTCAATATCTATTCACTATAATAGTACTGAATTATTAAAATTCTTATCACTAAAATTTACATGGAGATCAAAATAAAAACACTTAGTACTGAATACAATTCCATTTATTTTTATCCTTACAGTATTTAGAACAAAAATAAATGAAACTATCCTGTGTCATTTTATCGTGCAGAAACAGAAACCTGCCAGACTCGGATAATGTTATCTGAGTAACCAGCAAATAGGGTCTGACCATCAGTGGACCATGCGAGAGAAAGGCACTGGGGAGGATCAGATTTGTTAGTCTGTGTTTGGTTAATTATTTCTGGTCTCAGTTCTTCAACCATTTCCTTGCTCTCCAAGTCCTGTAAAAAAAATATAATTTGTAAGAATGATATTTTCTATAGTTAAATTAAAAATTTTATAAATAAGTCACATGTCTAAGTTGCATAAAAAATATATAAGACTTACCCAAATCTTAATGGATGGTCCGAATGCAGCACACAGCCAGTATCTGTTGGGTGAGAAGCAGAGTGCTGTGATGATATCATTATGGTCCAAGGTATGTAGGTGCTTGCCATCATTCAGATCCCAGAGCATAGCCTTCATATCCTTTCCACCAGAAGCACAAAGGGAACCATCAGGAGAAACAGTGACAGTGTTCAAATATCCAGAATGGCCAAGGTGGTTGATCTTGAGCTTGCAGTTAGTAAGATGCCAGACCTGTAAATTAGTTTTTGTTTCTTTCAACCATGTACAACATAAGACACTAAAGTAAAAGCTTATAATATTCTTAATATATATTATATGAATTAGAATTCAAAATGTAGAAATTATTATAAATAAAAAGTATCATTTCAATAACAAAATTGCACAAACCTTGACAGTGCGGTCCCAACCAGCAGACACGATGATAGGATTGGCATGGTTGGGGGAGAATCGAACACATGACACCCAGTCAGTGTGGCCATCATCTTGGATAGTGTATTTGCACTCTGCCAGAGTGTTCCACAACTTGATGGTCTTGTCACGGGAACCAGAGACAATCTGACGATTATCTACTGAGAAAGCCACAGAAAGGACATCCTGCAAGGACAAATTACCAGTTATATAATAAAAAAATTATTGAATTATAATTATCTCTGTCTACTTAGCTCAAAGGGTCCTTTAATATTATTATACATATAATTATTAAACCCAAGTTATGATCGAGGCTTCTATAATAGTCCAAATTATTTTTCTACTAAAAAAAGTTACAATAATTATAAAATGAACTATGGATTAGTAGGTATTTTATAATATTTAGAATCAGTAGAAAAATTTGATATAAATAGTGACTTACACCAGATGTCAGACCTGTGTAATGCAAAGCCACTCGGCAAATCTTCTGCCTCGCAAAGGCACAAACACACTACTCTTCTGCCTCGCATAGGCACTACACTTTTATTGACTTTACCACAATAACCCTACTAAAACTAAAAATTCTGTCACACCTTAGTATGGTCTTCAAAACGCCTAGTGGTTCTTCCGGCAGCGAGATCCCACAAGCGTAGGGTCTTATCCCAAGAACCAGAGAGTGCGTAGTTGCCATCGCTGGATAGTACTACGTCCGAGATGAAATGGGAATGACCATACAAACGCTTCTGAGGGACACCATAGTTTGTTTCATCTCGGGTCAATTTCCATACAATCAGGGTCTTGTCTGCAAATATACAGATTACGTTCGTTAAATATTGTAAAAATTAAACAATTTAAAATAAATATAACTAATATATCAGGCCCATATCCGCTTGCCGCTCAGAAATCGCGTGGCAGAGTTGTTATCATCATTTAGATTTAAAATATAGTTTTAATTAAAATCTCTAGGAGCAGAATATATTATTTCATTAATACAAATTAGTTTTAACATGATTATTTCCTGGATGTTTACGGATAAAAGTTCATGCATCATATTAACATACCATAGAATCTTACCTCGAGATGAAGACAAAATCATGTCCGGATATTTGGGATTGGTTGCAATTTGCGTAACCCAACCATTATGTCCACATAGGGTTCCTCGGAGTTTTAAAGTTTCAGTCATTTTTGATAATCAGTGACGATACAACCCGTACCCCATGCAGTTTAAGATAGAAAGACCGGTGACGTGCCGAATCAATGAATGGAAGGTTTGACGGTTGTTTGACATTAGCAGGGTTTCCAGATGCTATTGTCGATTTTTAACTCAATGTGAAATATTTTTTTACTAAATCGATACGGCTCCAATTCAATCAATCACAAACGATCGTTGCTTTTCACTACATTTTACCATGTTTATTATAAATTAAGCGACAAAAAAGGGCCCACCTCTCAATTAATTTATTTTGCTTTATTTTGTTTCGCTACTTTATTGGTATTTTTGTTGTGTAACTTTACGATTTATAACTACCAAAACTGTCAATAAAATATCACCCAAGCTTCTGCAAACCTAATTCATTTGTCTTCAAATATTTTACCAAAAAATTTATTTTTCTAAAATTTTGCGTTCAAAAAAATTAATACCCAAAATTGTAAAAAAACTATATGCAATCTGGCAATATAGGACAATATCAATATGAAAACAGAAATGAAGTGAAATCTAAAGAAAAATCTAACAACTCCGTGACCGTAAAATGGGGAGAATAGAAACTGTGAGGTGTATAGAAAAATAGTTAAAAAGGTTTAAATATAAAGATTAATTCGAGGTATTTCATGATATTAATATATCTGACTGAATTTAAAATGCAATAGTTTTCGTTACTAATAATAGACAATTGTTATAAACGTCAGCTGTTCTATAAATTGCCTCATAGTTAAGTCTGCGAAAGAAAAAAAATTAAATGGTAAATTTTTAATTTTTATTGAGAAAAATCCCTTTGTTTTTCTATTGTTAAAAACCGGAAGAACGAATTATTTTTTTCAGAAAATAGAAACAACTACAGAGTGAATAGATTAATTGAAACGTGAAAGGGAATAATATAAACGCTAAGTATGTGAATAGAAACGAATATATTTTATATTAGGATGGTATTTTTAAGTATTATGTTTAAAATAAATATTTGTCTCACTATAAGTACGTCCCATTTATTGTAGAGCTCTGTAGTTGGAAAACTATTTGGAAAGGCGAAGCCCACTTGCAATATCGTTCGCTGTGCTCTCTCTAGTTCGATGATTTTTTATTTTTATACAACTTAGAATGGCAAACAAACTGACGGCCCACCTGATGGAAAGTGGTAACCGTCGCCTATAGACATGAGCAGTACCATGGACATAACAAAGTATACTGTTTCGACCAAGATACCCCCATGCGTTGCCATTCCTGAGGACTCAGATGTTATTCCTCTATACCCTGTAAATTCACGCCATATCCCACCCTTCAAACCGAAACACAGCCATCCAAACACAACTGCTTCACGGTAGAAACACGAATGGAATAGATGTATCCAAGTAATCGACTTTTGTACAAAGTCTCCCTCTGGTAAGAGGTTCGATGAGGTGAGATTTAACTGCTCCTCTCCATAACGTAACACAATATTTAATATTTGACCAAGTGTATAGTAAAAATAACACAAGTAAATAAAATATGACCCTTTTGTCTTACTGTGAATACTGACTACTTTTGCTAACTGAACTAGTGTAGGTAAACCAAAGACCTGATCCTGATCCCGGTCTTGCTGGTGAGTGGTACTGTTAGCTGTAAACCCTATTCTTAATCTGTGATTTATAGCATAATGAGTATTGGTTATGATATATTTTTTTAATCTCTCTGTTTCCTGCAATGTACCTAATATGGTCAGCGGAATAAAACTTTCTCTGTGCAAATTATCGGGTTTAATTCAGATTATCCCATAAAATACCCGTAAACGTTCAGGTACAACCAAATTTCTATATCAGTAATAAATAGTAATCATTTATGTTTTTATCATTAACTGGATAAATATTTGTCTATTGGTATTTTTTTTTATTACATATTGAAACTCTATTGATGTAGAAATAAGAAAATTAATTTTACAGAAAGAAACTGACATCGTTAGTGTTCGCGACATTATAATCTCTTATATAAAAATGTATAGTTTATAGCGATACTTTATAGTTATTTTTGTCATTAGTTTTAATCATTCAAATTGTTAGTTTTATATAGACTTTATACGATGTATTTATAGTTGTAAGTTGAATAAAGCATTTTATTGTGTCGAGTCATTATTACCCACAAGTAGAAATAAGTAAAAGATTGTAAAAATAATAGTAATAAGATAATTATGATAAATAAATAGACGCCAAATGGTGCCGCTCTGAAGAGTTACGCGTCCCTCTCACACTCGCCCCGTCCCGCTCGCACAGACTCACTAATGTGAGTTGGTACATGTTATCGTGCGACCGGGCGGGTATAAAGATAGGCCGCCTATCGTCGAGCGGCATGGATCGGCCAGCAGTCGAAGCGACAAGAAGGAAAAGTTTGGCAGCAGCTTGGCAGCACTGAAGATACATCGCAGCAGCATCACCGCTTCGGCACCGCTACAACACCTGCGTGTGCGCCGCCGCAGCAACTCGACCGAGCAGCATCGCGGCAGCGCCATCGTACTATCAACGCGGCTTCACCACCTTGTGCACCACCGTACCAGCTCCACCGTGTGCACCGCCGCACTAGCACCACCGAAGCAGTAACATCACGTGCGCCCCGCCATCGCCTCAACGTCGCACCGCACGGATCCAGCAAACTCACCGTAGCCAGCACCAAGGAGAGAAGACGTTGTCTGGTGCGTTTGTTGTTGCAAACGTACCAGGCAACGAACCGGCTGTCATCGGAGCGGACAGTTTTGACAAGATTGAAGTCCATCCGGGGATAGGCATCCCCAGAATGAAGGGATCGCGGACGACTGCTTGAGAGGACGACCTGTGAAGCAGAAGGAAGGGAATCCGAAGAATTCGGAGAATGCCGAGCCCGGCCAGGCGGCCGGACGAAAAAGGCCCTTATCAGGGCCACAGTGTACCAGTGTACAGTGTACCATCATCGCAGGGGGGGGGACCTACCACCGCTGCTCCTCTCCCCGCGCGCGCCCGTGCGCAGCGCCCGCGATCAGCGATCTCCCCCCCGCGGGGGAGAGAGCGCTCCCGCTCGCGCGCCGCGCATCGCACCATAGAGACGCCGAGCGTCTCCCGCGCCGAACCAGCCGCGCCGATCCGCGGCCACGCGAGTGCTACCACCTCTCGCGCCGGTTTGGGCGACGCCGATGCCCAGCGCGCCCCGCAGGCCGCGCCCGCCGCGAACCGCACGATAGCCGTCCCCCACCCTCTCGCCGCCGAAACCGCCGCACACAGTGCCGCCGCCGCCCACACCGACACCGACGCCGTACCCATGTGCAGGGTACAACAAAGGACAACAGCAAGACCCGGAAGCGCTGCCGATGTCCCGATGTCTCCAGCATCACCACCGGACACCGACACCACCACCACCGCTCCGAGAAAGGGTGCAGGCGATTTGCCCGCCACTGGGCGGCCTCTACCTCCGTCCGGAGCCGCAGGCCCCTCCGTAATTTCGGGCGGGGGTCCGCGCGTCGGTTTGTCACCGAGATCAACATTAGAGTGCGACTCGTTGATCTTGGGACAAGTGCTGGCGACGGACCTTTTGTCCCAGGGGATGAAGGAGAGGATTGCGGCTCTGGTCGGGGACGAGGCGGCCCGGTTGGAGGGCCAGCCGACGCCACCCGTAGAAGAGATGGAGCTGGCACGAGACATGGGCAGATCGTTCATGATCTCGTCCACTAGACCGGTCAGGCGACCCCGAAGCCCAGAGACCGAGGAGGAGGGGCACAAGCGCCCCTGTCAAGAGCCCTCCCCACCGCTACAGCCCACCCCCCTCGCACAGAGGGACCCAAGACTGAGACCGAGGGACACGCAGTTTGCCGGTCCAAGAGAGAACGTTGTGCCAGCTCCCTCTTATGCAGAGGCAGCCAGAGCGCCTACTCCACCGCCTGGGACATCGGCAGGGACGCCCTGGAATCCAGGAGCGCTGTCGCAAGCTACCGCAGCGCCCCCTCCCCCCCGCGAGGCGAAGAAACAGAGAGTCCCGCCGCTCATAGTGGAACATCTGCCGGATTGGGTGCGTCACTTTCGCACTCTGAAGGGCAGACTGAACTACGCCCCTAACGCGCGCCCCTACGGAAAAGGAGTGCGCTTTACGCCCAAGTCGGAGGAAGAGTACCGCGTAATACAGCGGTACCTCTCCGACTTAGAAAAAGAAGAACACATCAGCTGGTTCTCCTACCAGCTGCCGGCGGAAAAGAGTGTGAAGGTGGCCATCCGCGGAATACCAGCGGACACACCCGTCGAGGAGATAACCGAAGCCCTGGCGGAGCTTGGACATTGTCCAGAATATGTCCGCCAGATAAAAGCCCGCCAGGGCCGCCCGGGGTGCATTTTCTACGCACAACTGAAGCGCACCCCGGCGACCATCCCCGGCATCTATCAAACAACAGAACTGTTATGTATGCCGGGGATAAGAATCGAAGCCTGGAGGGGAAAAAAAGGCCCGGCACAGTGCCATAGGTGCCAAAGCTTCCGGCACTCCTCGCACGGGTGCCACAGAAAACTTGCCTGCGTCCGCTGCGGCGAAGAGCACACGGCGCGCGACTGTCCGCGCCCCCGAGAAGAGCCTCCGACGTGTGCCAACTGTGGGGACAAGCACACGGCAAACAGCGTCTCCTGCCCGGTCTTCAAGAGGGAGATAAGCAACCGAAAGGCAGGAGCCACCGCCAGAACTCGCTCCAGATCAACGCACAAAGACCGCACAGTCCCCACAGCCGCGGACAGGGGCAACCTAATGGCCCCGGCCAATCCGGCAACAGAGCGGTCGCGGAAACCGCCTCAGAAGAGGAGAAAGAGGGGGAGGAAAAGCAGAGGCAACAGCAACAGCGACAAAAAGAAAAATGCTTCCGGGTCCGCGGAGCAGGCCCCCGCACGCAGCATCAACACCACACGCCCGCCAGCGGTCGCCGCCCTTGATGCTGACGCGACAACTGATGCAGCAACTGCAGCCCCAACAAAAACCGCCGCTGCCGTACCTACAGCACAGGCAGTACAGACACAAGTCGCCAGCAAGGGGAAGATGGCGAAGCGTGCTAAAGAAACCAGCACCTCCACCAACACAAGCACGGCAGACATGGTGAAAACTATGCTCACCATCCTGATGGAGGTGCTACTTGCGGTGCAAGCCGGATCGGACCCAGTACCGGCGATCACCGCAGGAATGGCGAGGCTGTCCAACACTAAATGGGACTAAGATTGCTGCACTGGAATGCGGACGGGGTCCGCAAGAAGACAACCCTGCTCCGGACGCTGCTTATGGAGTACCGTGTCGACGTGTGTCTCATTTCTGAGACACTACTGGGAGCTCTCGACACACTCCGCATTCCAGGATACCATGCATACCGACAGGACGAGATTACGGACGGCCAGAAGGCATATCGCGGGTTGGCTGTCCTGGTGAAAAGGAACGTAGTGCATCAACCGCTCCCCCGGGTGAATCTCACATCCATGTACGCACTCGGTGTCGAGCTATGCGTAGATAGAAGCCCCATCCGTGTGTTTGCAGTATACAAACCACCACAGAACAGGATTGCAGCTGCAGACGTCGCCGTCATCTTCGATTCGCAGCTGCCCACTGTCGCCGCAGGCGATTGGAACTGCAAACACACGGCCTGGAACTCCAACAACGACACGCCAGAAGGAAAAGCACTACTAGGGATAGCTGAGAGAATGGATATCACCGTGCTCGGCCCTGAGGTTCCAACTCACTATCCCTACATTTCAGCACATGCTCCAGATGTATTGGACTTCGCCTTATACAAAGGACTAGACAGCCAACCGACGCAGGAAGTCCTCCTCGAGGACATCCAATCCGACCACCTGCCGGTGTGCATGGTTATTCCACAAACACCGACATTCCTGACGCCACGCCTCCCACGCCGTCGGATCGACTGGGTGAAATTCAGGGACTCGATGGAGCACAACACGCCCATGATGGCAGTCTCAACCTCGTCTGAAGTCGAAGAACTCGCTGCTAACCTGTCAGTCTCCATACAGCACGCCATGGACATCGCAGCGCAGCCGGGACCTGTAACAAGGACCCGCGAGTGGATCCCGGCTGCCACCAGGATGAAACTAGAAGCGAAGCGCCGATTGCGTAGGGACTGGCAGTCGACACGTTGCCCCACCCTCAAGACGAGGTTGAACAAACTCGCCGAAGACATCAGGCGAGACATTGAGTCCCACAGGAAGGAAAGCTGGGATCGTTTACTGGAAGACGCCGGCGACGACTGGAACAGCATCCACCGCCTATGCCGCCGGCTGTCCCAATCCCAGCCCCCGGTCCGACCACTACTGGCGAGCGATGGGACGCCGAGATACCGTGCAGCAGACCGTGCGGAAATCCTAGCCGAACACCTAGAACGCCAGTTCCAGCCGAACCCGGTTACCGATACCGAACATGCTGCCATGGTAGTCAAATACGTTGAAAACTACCTGGCTCCGCTACTAGCGCCACACGAAGACCCGGTGGTGTTTACGCCGGGACAAGTGCAGCGTGAATTAAGAAAAACGAAGCCTCGGAAGGCCCCCGGCAGCGATAATATCACGAATACGGCATTGCACCACCTGCCGCCGCGCACTATAGCGGCAGTTACACGCCTGTACAATGGTATTATGCGCACAGGGCATTTCCCAAACACATGGAAGATAGACAAAGTTATCACGCTCCCTAAGCCCGGTAAGAACGTATTGAAACCGGAATCGTACCGGCCAATCACGTTGTTGCAGCATGTATCGAAGGTGTTTGAGAGACTACTTCTCAAACACATAAACACATACATCAAGCCCAGAGAAGAGCAATACGGGTTCAGAGCTGAGCACTCCACCACCCTGCAGCTGATCAGGATACTGCACACGTTCACAACGGCCATCAACAAGAAGGAAGTCGCCGTAGCAGTATTCCTCGACATGGAGAAAGCTTTTGACAGGGTCTGGCACGACGGTCTGCTGTACAAGTTGGCCACCCAGACAGAAATGCCAAGAAGGCTCATCCAAGTGGTGGCCTCATTTCTCAGGAATCGTCGGTTCATGGTGGCGGTTGAACAAACCTGTTCGGGTGAGCGTCCCATCCGAGCGGGCGTCCCGCAAGGCAGCTGCTTATCGCCTGTGCTTTATGCGCAGTACACCGACGACATCCCAACCACGGAGCAGACTACACTGGCGCTCTACGCCGACGATGCAGCCTACGCCGCGACGTCGCTCAACAATAAGCACGCGGCGTCAAAACTCCAAACGGTATTAGATGCCCTGCCAGAATGGCTGGGAAAATGGCGCCTGTCGGTGAACGTGCGCAAGACACAGGCGATCACAGCCAACATGAAAAGGACGCCACCACAGCTACGCCTGCTCGGTTCCCCGATCGAGTGGTCCCGCACCGCCACCTACTTAGGGGTGGAAATCGACCGCCGGTTGACTTTCGGAACGCACGTCAAGAAGGTTCGCCAGAAGGCTAGAACAGCCAGGCACCTGCTGCGTCCGGTACTCGTCGGAAACCTCCCTCTCCAGATGAAGACGGGAATTTATAAAACGTACATCCGCCCGCGTCTAACTTATGCCGCGCCGGCGTGGTACGCATTCGTCAGCAAGACAAACAGAAGAGCACTAGAAGCACAACAGCACCTGACGTTGCGTACCCTGACCGGTGCGCATAAGTTCGTCAGAAACGCCACCCTGGAGAGGGACCTCAAAATCCAGCCACTGGACGCACACGTAAAAGAACTAGCGACTAGACTGTTCCAACGCGCGGACGCATCAAAATGGGACCACCTCAGAGGCATAGCGCCTCTGCACGCTAGACCGCCGGAGATGAAGCCATACGCGCGCGAACTCACCCGCTCGCGCGAAGCAGAAGAAGAAGACACGGTCCCATAGTGTAGAAGCGCGTGGCGCCGTCGTCATGGGCCGCTCTTGCGCTGGCAGTATGCCGGGCCTCCCCCCATGGGGTCTCACCTGGCAGGCGAAGACCGCGCCGACCGGCCCAGACGGCGCCAACAGTCTACAAGTGAACCTTAGTGCGTTCCTATGAAAACCACCGGCAAGTACCACCCCCAACTACCCTGCACATGGTAATGTGCGGCGAGAGACACCAGCAGAAGGGGGCCAACGCCCCGGGCTGCTATACCCCCCACGTCCCCTTTATACGGCTACGTGCGGAGAATACCTACCGAGCGAGCGGCATGCACTGCACTGCACTCCCCAACCGATAAGGAAATAGGAGACTTCAGTACGGAACCGGGAGCTTCAAGAAAGGAATTTTATCGTTTCTCTCCAGCCTGAACCAGCACCCCTACAGTCCACGCTCACCTTGCGGTCAAGCTGCACCGTTCAGTTAGCATGCTTTTAATATAATATTCTACCAGTGAAGTTTAACATTCTTACCAAAAAACATGAATCGAGAAATGACAAAAAAATTTGTGTCTAGTTACAGTATACCTTTTTTGTCGTTTTTGTATTTGTTTTTATTATAATTTTAATGTTCAATATAATTTAAAATTCTTTTAAAAAATTTGATCGAATAAAACAAAAAAAGACCGTTCGATGGATTGAATTGAAACTTTGTGGGGTTTTTGTGGGTATATTGAACTGTAAAAGGCACACTCAACATTACTGGTTTTCTCGGTATTTCTATCTTAACGCCTGATTATTCCAAAAGCCACTAAAATCCCTTTTTTTCTTGATTATTCAAATTAGTGTAAAGAATAAAAAAAAAATTTTTTTCGTAAAGCCATAGTTGATTTTTGTCGGAAATTTATTCAAAAATTTGAAAACTCTTCTTAATTATGTTTTGTGATCAGCGGTTGCTGAGATATTAATGGTTAAAGACAAAAAGATCCTTTTTCATTCAAAGTTCGATATCTCAGCGACAAGTAGTCGTATCGAACTTTGCAAAAAAGCAAATTAATACTGAATGAATATGCTATCTGATCCATATAGTGGTTAGGTTAGAAATTTTTTTTCCAAGTTCGTAGATCACAAAAAGAATCAAAAAAATTTTGAAAAAATTTTTATAATTTGAATAAAACTTTTAAATTACAAAAATAAATTAATCTAGATATTGATCTAGTTTTTTGATTAAAGTTACAAATTGATGTTATCCACCCACTTTACGGATTTACCGTTGGTTTATGTTCAAAAATATTATTTTTCATCTATGAGAAATTATGATATTCGTTTTAGATTAAGAATAATTATACACATATCTATGTACATTTCAACCAATCAGTGACGGCATGTTATAGAAATGCGTTCAAAAAACATTAAAACTTAGTTACGTTTCAAACTAAGATTTCAAATTAGGAAGTCAAACTTTGATTTGTCAATACCCAAATTCAAAAGAAAATTTCGTCGAATAGATATTCCTTAAAATAAGTTGAAAATATATATTTATATTTTATTTACTTGTATTAAAGTATTTATGATAATATTTCAAAATACCCTCACAGATGAATAATATTATTGAATCTCCACAAATAATGGCTAAAGCAAAAATTGTGTCGTCTGTAATAATAAAAGTAAGTAATTTTCTTTCTTTAAACTAATAATTTTTATATACTTAACTGATAATGCGAAATCTTGATTTGTTAAAACTATTAAAATTAAGTAATATTGTTATGGTAAACTTGTGATATGTATCACGATGAACGGTATGTCCCGTTCATACACAAGTACCTGTATCATGTTAATGTTTTAAATCTTTTATTCTGTTTTTATAATACAATTATTTGTTTTTTTTTATATATTTATGTAATTCATGTAATTATTAATACCTTGCCGACCTATTTGTAATCTAATATAATACATAATGATATGTATAAATTTTCTTTTTTATCTTATTGGTAATTTGAAGGTAAAATTAATAAAATAATTATATTAACCTAAATTAATTTTAAATTCTTGAATGAGTCTACAAATGGCATCATGTTTTAGTTCGTAAAAACACCACTTGGTGGCCTTTGTCGCAAAATTGACGTCACGCAATTAGTACGCCATTTTGTAAGTGTCCCCCGTAGTTAGTTTTCTGGTTAAAGTGAGAAATAGATATTTCGCATGGTTCGGTGTACAATAAAGAGTTAAAGACATTTTATTACACTTTTAACGTCTCGTACGTTAAATATACAGACCCAAAGTATGGAGGACAAGGCTTCGTTAAAGGAACTGGATCAATGGATAGAGCAGCTAAATGAATGCAAGCAATTGACAGAAAATCAAGTAAAAACGTTATGCGACAAGGTAAGACACCATTATATTTCTTGTTAAATTAGGCAGAATTTGTTTATGAATGGTGATATAACTTTGGTCACATTATTGCTAAGGTTTATACCTATATGTTTTATGAATCACACCTATATTGACTGGTATCAGTAAGGGGATTGAATGTACTATGTAGAGGTTGCATTTCATTTTGTCGGAAGCCGTTCAATCAGCAACATATCTTGGCTAAGATATTCTACTATAACATATTACCACACCCAAATATCTATTTTGTAGGCTGTTACTAGCTTAATTGGTTAGAGGTATTTTTAGACTCGCTACGGAAATGCTCTTTATTAATTCTATAATATTAATTCAGTACCTACTCATTAATAATTTACCTAGTTTGTTGTTGTTGATAGCTATCTTTTATAATCGTTGTTGATCTATTAATTATATAGGCTGTAAGGCACCGCCCGCGTACCTCGCGTCTTCTTTTTATGCGTAGATTTCGACATTAATTTGTATGATATCATACACTTATTGATATCTTTACTAGCTAATAGATAACTTTGTTAAATTTTCTTCTTCAGTGGCTGTAATACATAATTAGTGAGCAAATTTTGGGACAAAAACATTGCTAACAGCTCTTAGCTTACTGATAGATATAATCAAATATTTACCCAATTACTCATGAATTTTACAATTGTTAAGTATGTGTATAGTCTGTCTTTATTTACTTAGAATAATTAGTAAATAATCTTATATTAAAGATCTAATGTAATCATTTTAAAATGGGCAAAAGTGAAAATCCTTCTTATCATAGGTAGTTTGTATTACATCTGTCTCACCTTACATAAAAGAAGATTAGACAGAAAAAATAATAGAACCTTCTCTCTGAACCCATTATAAGCATAATAACATTGTAAATTAATATGTATTGTGAACAACAGTATGGAACATAAATTATCTTAAACAGTAAATCTTGTATATGAAAATAATCTGCAGTAGTGTACATAATTGGTTTATTACAAAATTCTCTGGTTGGTGATCAATCTAGTATTCTGGATCATTTTCAATTCAATGAACCAATAGTAATTAGTAATTTAATCGACTATTATATTTTGAAAAGAAAATAAATAATATAATAATAATAGTCATAGACATATTGTAGAGTGCCATTTAAGTTCAAACTATGCAAAAATTGTAATTATCCAATATTTATTAATATAAATACATTGAATCATGTAGATACTTATATGTACCTAAAGAATTAAAATAATAATTTGGTTATATAATTGTATTATATTTGTTATTCATAGGAATTTTATTTATTTATTAAGGGAAATAAACTGCTCTTTATAACAGTACAGATGCTATATATATTTTCACTCATACATAGGCCAATACAGTTTACACAAAAGAAATTGTAAACATAAAAGTTAGAAAAATGATTATTGTGTAGCATATAATTCCATATTAATAAATTTAGTTTAATATAGTTTTATGTTATAAACATCTAAAATACACTCCTCGCAAAAATTAAGGGAACATAAAAATTTTTGAAATTTTTGGGTGATTTTCAACAGGCTGTATTTCAGTGAAAAATAATCATACAGGAAATTTAAAATAAGGGTTTTGAAGCTTGAAAACTCTAGTTTTCAGATTTTTTGGTGAAAAAATTTTTTGAGCTCCGGTTTCCATGCAATTCTTAAACAAAGCTGAAAATAATTTTTTTCTAAATTTTCTAGGTTTCGTTTTTCACTCTATGGGCATGGAAAAATTTTTTCGAGCTACTCCATTGTATAGGTCTCTTAGCGTGTTTATTCAGCTTCAAAAATCGCTTTGGATGGCTCAATTACGACCATTTGTCTCCGAGATATCGAACTTTGAATGCAAAAGCATCCTCGCAAACGGTCGGATTCGTCGTGCAACCTCCACGTGGTATGCTTTGGGTAACGCTAATGCCGGCGGTAAATCGATCATCAATCAAAGTTTTTGTCAAAAACTTTGATTTCCTTAAAAACGAAAAAAAAAATTTTTGTAAACTTTTCTCGACTTTTCAAAAAAAAATTTTCTTAAAAATTTTCTTGATTTTTTTCGATTTTTTTTTGATAATGAATTTTTAAAAAACAAAAAATTGAGTAAAAAGTGAAAAACAAATGAAATTATTGATTTTTGAATGGATTAGGGTGAGTTTAAGGGACAAAAACCTTGTTCCCTTATTTTTTCCAAAATTTCAATCAATTGGTCCGGGAAAAACCGTTGAACCGATCGCTCCAGGGATTTAGGGGGTTCTTTAAGGAACAATAGACTGTAAAATTTTCCTCAAATGTTAGCTTTCCCGCCCATATTAGCGAAGATACAGCCAAGTAACCAAAAAAGGAGAAAAAGTCACTTTTTTCCACTTTTTTCAATTCAATGTTAGAGGTGGAAAAAAATTTTTTCTTCACTAACTCTTGACTGTGCTTAATTGGAAATTTTATGCAGATAAAGAAACTCGGCGCCCGCTTGCTCTGCGACCAGTAGTTCCAGAGATATTAGCAGTTGAATGGAAAAGGATGCTTTTGCATTCAAAGTTCGATATCTCGGAGACAAATGGTCGTAATTGAGCCATCCAAAGCGATTTTTAAAGCTGAATAAACACGCTAAGAGACCTATACAATGGAGTAGCTCGAAAAAATTTTTCCATGCCCATAGAGTGAAAAACGAAACCTAGAAAATTTAGAAAAAATTTATTTTCAGCTTTGTTTAAGAATTGCATGGAAACCGGAGCTCAAAAAATTTTTTCACCAAAAAATCTGAAAACTAGAGTTTTCAAGCTTCAAAACCCTTATTTTAAATTTCCTGTACGATTATTTTTCACTGAAATACAGCCTGTTGAAAATCACCCAAAAATTTCAAAAATTTTTATGTTCCCTTAATTTTTGCGAGGAGTGTAGTTATTAAATACATGAATATGTATAGTTTTTTTTTTATCCTGATTAATTAATATAGTCTGATCACATAGACAAAGTATGAAGAAAATACTAGTGATACAATATTTATATCTTTGTATCCTCACAAAGTAACATTAGGCATTCATTTCGAGATTTAAAACATAAAATGTTTCTTAAATGCCCAATGCAATATGTGTAATCAAGTTCAAGGATCTTTTACATCATTTAATATTTAAGTATACCTAAATATCCTATGTACATTTAAATGGACAAGAGCTTTGAACCTGCTCATCTTGATGTATGATAGTTTGGGTCTTATAAGGTTAAATCTTTCATCATCATAATTTCAATCTAATTGGCTGTGCACTGCTAAACATAGAATATATCCCTTCCCTCTCTATAAAATAACACAAAAATATTCCTATGCTATTTTCATTTCATCCATAAATAACATTACAAAAGAGTAATAATGGATTTCAATTATTGTATAAGGTAATTAACAATTTTACCTTGTGTTTTTGCTTGAGTACAGTTCCTTTATTCAATTTTATATAGCTTTTATAGCCTTGTGTGTTGTAATAATTTACATAGTAGAGAAAATATATCTACTGTATTATTTCAATTATATAATGGCAAATGCCTAGGACAAGTGAAAATTGCTATTTTACCATTTTTCACTTACTTTAGTTATTACTAAGTATAACTTCAAATTATTTGGGATTAATTTTATACCTTTCAATTTCATTTAAAGTTATTAATAATTTTTAAGTTGAAAAAATGTAACAGTATAGAAATTGTTGGTCTAGGTAGTATCAAAGTAGGGATAGAGGTTGTGGGAATTTTGTATTGACTATCTACCCTCTTAACCTGACAAGTAGAAATTAATGTTTTATTACATTAAACATCTAATTTTCTTATGTTACTTGTCATGGCATGGCTTATGATCCACCTGATGTAAAACAGTAATGGTGACCTATAAACATAAACAATACCATGGACATTACAAAATATGTAGTGACACACATAGTACATAGTATGCAATGCCATTCAAAATAATTTTATAAAAAAAATAGTTATAAAATCCCACAATTAACAATTAGATGTTTTTCTTTATTTATCTACTAGCTTTTACCCACAACTTTTCCCATGTGACCAGCTTATGTTCACTGACTAGGATAAATGTAGCCTATAGGACATCTCCATACCATATAGTATGTGTATACTAAATTTCATAGTGATTAGTTCAGCAATTAAGGCACTGTGAGATAACAAACATTATGATGGGTAGAAGAAAGTTGTATAAGCTATTTTAAATCATTGTAGTAATTATAAGTGCAAAACCTTTGTTCAAGTATAAATAAATAAACATTTATTATTATTATTTATTACTAAACTCACTTTCACATTTACAATATTAATATAGATATAAATTGTTAAGTAACAATTTTATGTACTTTATGTAGGTGAATAAACATGATGAATTTTGAACTCTAAAGTCAAGTTACCTATGCTCAATTTATGTTGTATTAGGACTATTAGGTATATAAATGGCACTAGATATTTTGTCTACTTTTTTGTGTTATAAATAATGACATTTTGTGATTATTTTCTTGTAAATAGTACATTAACTTTTAATTAATTTTGTGAGTGACCTACTTATTTAGTGAAGTGACCTATATACATAATTATTATGAGTTTATACTATACAAATAATACAATTATTAAAAACACGAGTTTGATATGACTTCCCTAATTACCATGTTTATCTATTTCCTTTGTTCATATCTATGAATGTTTAGGTTCTGTATCATGAAAGTAGGTGGTTTTTTTTAATTAAATATTTTTTTTTATGGAATGAAAATAGAAGGACATTCCCACCTGTGCTATTCATATATGCTGGTACCAGTGAGTGATGATAGGTGATGACAAAATCTACTCGGTTATGATGGATTCGTTTGTTTCTATCTGCATATAGCTGCCCCATTACTAGCAATATACCCTATTTTGCTAGTAATGGGGCTGCTGGGTTCTATTATTAATTAATTATCTTTCCCATGGATTAAGTATAATTATTGATGGAGAGTTATGTTCATGTTTAGA